CACACTCTCTCTGGCTTTCTACGTGCACACAGAGCTCCGTGCCAGGTCTTCCAGGGCAGGCTCTCCCTAGCCAGCCAGGCAGCAGCCTTGGCTGCACACTTCAGCAAACGTCTCAAGCTCTGAGGAGCTGACATTTCTGCAGAAACACCTCCTTCTGTCTCTATTTAGGTCGTGTAGCCATATGCCACCCCCCATGCAAGGCTTTAACTGAAAGCCACCACAGAGAGCCCTTTGCAGTACATCTAAACCACTCAACTCTCTGTACCTGAGCTTCTGTAGTGTCACTGAGCTAACGAACAAGCATGTTGTTCACTAAAATATTACGGGTGAGTGAGGAATGGGTTTAAACTATCTTCAGATAGATCAGTTGAGTCCTATAATGGAGGGGAGGGGGGAAAGAAAACAGTGAAATCATCTCTTTCATTTTAGTGCAGCAGCAAGGAACTGCCAAAGACTGTTCTGAGGATTACAGTGCAGAAATGCTATTTTGGACCCCAAGTATGTACCAGGTTACCTGGAGCGTGGAAAGAGATGCATAGAGACATTTCTTCTGAAATAAAACAAATCATAACTACTTAAAAGTTAACACACACAAAAAAAGAAACCCAAACCCCAACCAACCAATGGCTGTAATTACCTCTCTACCATGCAACTAAAAAGCACAGACAGGAGCAGATATGCCCACAGAGCTTTGCAAGAGCAAAGACATAGAATACGGCTTACCAAATTCAAGTGTTCTATTGTGACTCTGCCACAGAGGTTCCCTTCTGTAAGCTCTATTAAGAACACAAAGCTCAATTCCCCCAAAAAAACTTCAGGGTATGTTGTGTATTTTTAATGTCAGTCCAGGAAAAGTATGTAATAAGGATAATACTGCAGCAGTATTAAAGATGTGATACATTTCCAGGATAAATAACACCACAGTTTTGGAGAACACAATATATGGATACCTTCTTGGAACTTATCTACCCTTTCTTTTGGTGGTTTCTTGTGTCATATTCACACAAATATAGCTCTTTGGGAAAATGTCAACAAGACTATTCAGAGGCATTTTCAGACTATTACCTAAGAAGATGGCACAGATATTTCCTTCCCACATAAATTAAATTGACATTCAAGGGGGAAACCAGTATTTTGGCCTCCTGAAGTAAAGATGAAGTTAACTTTATCCTTCTATGCAGTCACAACTGCTCGGTGGTAAGGTACAGTGCTTTGCTGATGCAGTTGATTTTTAGGGATTACAGACATCCTCTGGGTAATCTTGTAGTTTTAAAATGCTACTGCTCCCAGCTTTCCATTCCCCTGCTCTGCCAGAGATTCCCACTGCTCTAGCAGAAGCAACAGAAGACAATGCTCTGCAGTTTCCCTCTTCTGTAAGACAGCAAGGAGGGCAGGACTCAGTTATATACTGCAGATGCTTCAGTTCTCAGCCTGGTATCTTAGCAAAATGCAGGGGACTTTGAACAGGAGTTTCTGAGGCACAGGCACCTGCTCTTTGCTACTACCTCCTTTTCAAGCAGAGTAGCCTCCAATAACACCAAAAAGCAACACACACAACAACAAAAAAACAAACCCCCATACAACCAGTGAAAAAACAGAGGTATTATTTTGAACGCACTTACAGCTAGATCCAAGTGGGCTATTTCAGAGTGATGATTCTTAAAGTGCAAGATACCATATTAATTAAGACTCCCCAAACATCTTTGAAGGAGGTTATTCAGAAAAGTTCTCAGTGCTACTGTGAGCACTGAATATGGCTGTTCATGGATGCTGTTTACCTGTAGTATGTGAACTGAAGCTAATGCGCTTCAGAGAAAGCACAGCCATTAACAATTCAAAGACTTCCTCATAATACCTTTTGCACACATTGATCTACTTCCTGCTATTAAAAAACAAACAAACAAAAAACCACAAACAAGGCAAAAACATTTACTAGATGATCTTGTCCTGTGAGGATGGACTTGCAGCCCAAACTAGTCAGATGTCAAGATAGAACGCTAAACATTAATCCCTTGGGAATAGTCCCAGGGATTAGAGTATCCCAAATACAAAAAGATTCTGAGCCAAAGGCTCTTCACAGGGAATTACCAGAGAAAATGATCCCTAATGTTAATGTATCCCAATTTCCCCTAGTTACCACAGCAGCTGACTGTAAGTAAAGCAGGCAGATATGGTCTGACAAGCATATGAAATTCATGCTTTCAGTGCACGTAGTGTTACGATTTGAACTGTAGTTGGTGTGGGAAAGTCAGATTAGTGTGACGTTGGAGAGAAAAGGCTCAATCTCTCTGTCATGGAAAATCATATCCCAAAAGCAAAATTTGTTTGTTGTCCTAAACCTGTAATCTTAACTCTCTCAAGTGGATTCCAAGGGGATCTGCCAAGTACTTATTTAATTTCACTTCCATTCAGCTACTGGTACAACTGAACTGTCATGACAAAGGAAACTCGAGCACTTACAGCCGTACCACAGTGTGTGGGTCTTGCAGCAATGCTTCCAGATTTGTTTCACAGTTACACTACCCTGGGCTGCCTACTACTCAGGGCAGAAAAAAGATGCACAAGCAAACATGCACAAGCTAACTCAATTTAGCTCTTCCAAAAACCAGGTGAATCTTATGTCCTCCACTTGTGGCACAGCTTGAAAATAAAACCAGAAAAACCTTAATCAACTAAATGAAAACCCCAGCACCCCAGTCCAGCCCCAAACACCCCACATTCTAATTCAGCAGGGTTTTAAAATGCTCTGTGAAAACGTGTGGGTTTAGTTGCAATCAATCGTTCTCTAAATTTACATGGACCATCCTCTTCCCTTTTGTCAGTCAAATACGATGCTTTGGCAGTCTCTCTCCCAGCTATAACTCATATATACATACACATGAACTATACATACTCCTCACTTCTCTTTTTTTCTTTTTGTTACATTTTGCAGGAAGCCATTTTAGGCACAGGGAACAGACCGTCATCTCCTCTTTCAAAAGAATCTTACTGCAGGGGCCTCTCCATTCCAAATGGTTAGGAATCCAATACACAACAATCTTGCAGAAATCAGCTGCCAGATTTATTATTCTACCTAAAAACCCCAAACAAAACAAAACAAACAAACAAAAAAAACCAACAACCCAAACAAAAAGTGGAATAAAAACACTTTAAATAAACCTCTTAGGTACATTTTAAAAAGGGTTAACCAGTTCAGTGAAAGACTGTTTTATCATTTGCTGAGAGATTATGTAATGGTGGTCTGATTGCTTGTTTTGTTCAGTGAGTCACTACCGTATACAGATATATATATATTTCTTCTTAAATATTACACATTTGATGCATTTTTTCCACTTTTTTTTTTTCCTTTTTTGACTAACCCCTTTCCCAAATACCCATATCCTGCCACAGGCAAGAGGCACTCTGTGCTGATATTAAAGAACCAAAACCAATCCAAGGACTTTTCATCAAAGCATGTTTCATTTTAACCTTATTTCAATGTAAACTGCATTTTTTAAAAACAATCTTACTTAACCTTTTTCCTTTTCCTTTTTTCTAATTCTTCAATTTTAGACTTCTGATTCTGGGTTGATCACTAAAAATTTAAGTGCCACTGAGACTTAAGAATGACAGCAATAGGTGACATGTTAAGGCATATATACACTCCCATAAAATGTTGTCTTATGGATCTGAGTAAAATAAATACCTGACCAAATGTTTTTTATGCACCTGTGGTTTCTAGTGACCACGACTTCTTTACTTTTGATTGCATAATTGCATATTAAAATACTCATTGCTAACTACTGTCTTAGTTTACAGAGGATGGAAAATTAACTCACCACCTAGGAATTTCTTTCAAATCGATCCATTATGATGAAAATTACTCTTGTTTCTTTAAGGTTATGCATTCATTTTCCTCCCTACTTCTTGGGAATATAGGAAAATCAGGTAGTCCATATAACACCTACTTAAATTTCACTGGGCAAAAAAAGAAATCCAGATCTTACCTCCTCACTCTCCCTTCAAACTATGAAATATATTTCAGAAAAGGGGCTCATAAATATTTAAAACTTTTGTGGTTTTGACAGAGCTCTTTTTTTTTTTTTTCATTTTACATACAGGATTGCATGAGTGGCTTGTGTTCAAGATTACACCTCAAAAAAAAAAACCATTTTAAAAAGTAACAACAACCAAAAAAACCCCTCTAAATTTAAATTGTCTTCCGAGCATATCTGATCACATTTACATTTAGTGTCCAAAACAAGTTGATTGGTAACATCAGTGCCAGCACTACAACGTCATACAGCGACTCCATGGTATTCTTTGACAGTTTCGTCTAAGTCTCCGTTCCACCAAAAATTACAAAAGGTTCTGCAGAGCTTTCCTTAGCAAGCTGAAGCTTACTAGTCATTTGTGGATGCGCGTAAAAGCTGCTTATAGCACAGCTATGGCGTAAGCTATTTTCTAAGCAATAAATGGTTCAAGTCATCTATTTTGTCCTGAAATGCTACCTGTAGTTACAGCATTGCTTATAAATGGTCATAGTAAATTCAGCATCAAAGAGAATATTACAGAAAAAGACAGCAGCAGAAGCATTAGCGTTATCTAGTATTTATATATGTTATCAACATAACACAGCAGTAAAAGGTTTAAATGCATATTAATGGGTACCGTGTCTAAAAATTACTAAAGTACCTATTTAGTGTATTGGATATTTTTCTCAAGGAGTGCTTGCTGTGTCTAAACAGCATAATTAGATATGTGACTTAGTACAGTTAATTCCTATTGATTAAATAACTTATTTATGTTCCAAAGGAAATGGAAGGATACAAAATGTGTTCTCCCTCCTGATCATGATCCTGTATTTAATGCTGACATGATCATCAGAAAGCCTGGCACATGTAATTACTATCTTCAAATGGATGTTGAAAGGTTGAATCCACAGCATGGGCCATATGTGTATAGGAACATGGCACCAGATATGGCATACGGCTTGCACTTTGGAGTCAGGGGTTTTGTCCAGGTATCTGGTTGTTTTTAGAAACAAGGTGCAAGGTCTGCCACTGCAAGTTTCTAAATTAAATGCTGTGGTACATGCTTTGCTTCTCTTTTATAACTGCAGAAAGACAATTAAGAATGGCAAGAAACAAACGCCCTAGGCATGCTGTGCTGATATCATCATTGACTGGTTATTCTGCACAATGAGAATTAACTGTACTACGGATACCCAGAGAAAATGTACAATATCTTATGCTGATATGAAACAGAACAGACATGATATAGCTTTTTTGTACTTAAAACCTGTATGTTCCCTTCCCAAACTTAAGTAAAAAGCAAACCCACCCTTTTCCTCCTGTTACACAGAATAACGTTTAGGTTCCAACCCTCCTCTTTCAAATAAAGTGCGCTGTCCATGGCAGACCATAGGAGTAATGCAACAGGAAAAGCCCCTTTTAGTGTACTATTTAAAAAACAAACTGAAGTCGATTCAGCTTTCCTCTGGGTCTTGTGAAAGAGGAGAAGCCTAAGGGAGGGGAAAACATCCCCTCACTGTCACTGTTGTTAATAGACATAGCCTTCATTGTAGGGGTGGGTGTTGCAGCAACCACCGTCCTGCATGTAGACCATGCTCTCATCAAAGTGGGACAGAGGCACAGTGTCCTCCTCATTGATGTGGCGCTCCATGTCAGTCTTCAGTAAGGGGCGCTGGTTGTCTGGAAAAGCCATGGAGAAAAGCGCTTCAGGGTCGCAAACAAACTTGTAGACATATCTTTCTCCAGCCACCTTAGAAAAACAGAAGAGAGAAAAAGGTGCAGTGTAAGGCCTCGTGGTTTTGCAACTCCAAGTTCAACAGTCACAATTATATAACAATTAATAACATGGCAGCAGAACTGGTAAGGCAAACCTAGAACCTAGCAAAGACAATGGGGATCTGCAGAAGCAGACTGTGCAGAACGCTCTTGATTTTGCCACATGTTAAATCCTGTTGGAAGATGGACTAGATATTCTACTTCTAAACATTTGTTTGCTATCATTTCCTTTACCTAATCACAAATGGAACTGCTCGTATTGGAAAATGTAAACAAATTGTCACTACAGTGGCAAAATAAAATGACTAAGTCCAACACTGTGTGCAAAATGGAAAAAAGAATCATATTGCATAACAGAGATCTAAATTTCACTTTACGCAGATTGATTCATACTTAAGTATAAAAGCACTTAGTTATAGTGCATGCTGATTGTACAGGGACAGCGTAAGCAAATACGTAGACTAATATGTACTTAGCAATTGCTCATGCAAAGCTGGGACATTTGGATTTGCTTATGGAGGGGCAATTTGTCCAAAGATCCTACAGTTTTCCTTTATTCAGAAGTAACACTAATGTCTATGTGCTAACATCTAAAGAACGATAAATGCAATACAGAATTATTGCCTTTTTTTACATATTAAAAAAGGCCAATATGTCTTCTCTAGAACCTTACTTAAATAATTATGTTTAAAAATATGAACCATGTTACATGCTAACAGATTATTAAAATAATTTTTAAATAAAGATCATCTTGTCTGCTTCTAGCAACTGTGTTGGGAGTGAATAAATTAAGGTAACAAAAGTGTTGCAAACTTAACTCTGTTCTTATGAGTGTAAGATAGTCTGAAGCATCTCAAATTTTCAGCTTATTTATTCCACAAATCATGTAAAGTTTTGGTAGAGACTGTATCTGCAGTATAATTTTTTTCATCAAATTAATGCCAATAAGTTTGACAGACTGAAGGCTGCATTCAGAAACTGGGCATTGGCATAACCTGTTACCATTGCTTGAGTTAGAAAAAAGGAGGAAAAATGTGCATACAGACCTTGCAGTAAGGAAACCTGCTATGAATTTACAATCACTATTAGTTTTAAACATACCTAAACTGCTCAGAGAGGGTGATGTCATGGCAAAATGCATTAAATACATTTCTGTAGATGATGAAGTATTAGCATAAGAGGTAACAAGTAAGCTGGCAGATGCACTTATAAATTTCCCATATTAAATGGATGCATGTGTTGGGCAGTATAATCAGCCTTATGAAATCCTCACCCCCTTATTTTCAACTACTTTCACTCTCTTTACTACTTATTCTTGTCTCTGTGCTGCTTTTGAACTGTGCCAGCACAATTGCCTGTGCAGCTGAGCTGTGACCTACAATGAGGTCTCTGCCTGAAGCACCACCAAGTAAAATCAAGTGCTTCTGATTCTCCCCATTATACCCAGTCTCCAGTCCACTTTACAAAGACTCAATGCAGTTATGTGGCACACAAAAACAGGTGATGCACTGTGCTCCGTAAGTTCCGTAAGCCAATACTAGCCCAGATGGGTGTCCCAGCTGACTCCTAGATAGTGAAAAAGTAGAACACTACAACAGTCCCTCAATCAAACAGGAGAACTTGTAACAAGCAACTCCAAACTGCAACTTTGCCAAACCTACTGGAAAAGTTGCCCAGTAACTTGAGCTGAGAGCATTATTTCCATTCATGGAACTGGCAACTGGCACGTTTAAACATGTTAGTTATCACAGGTCAAAAAACTAATGTTAAAAGATATGGAACAAGTTTTACAGCACAAGGTGTTCATTATTATCTTTGATCACACCTGCCAGCTTTGTAGATGCAGCAGCAAGGTCTCCCCTATTGTTTCCTCAGTGAATCTACATAGTACTACATATCAAGATTTTAAAAGATATATGTAAATCAGCAAGCCACAGCAGAAGGATGGTTTGAATACTGTCAGCAAGACCAGGCTGTTATCCATAAATTATTGTTAACTATTTCTCACAATTCAGGCTATTATAAAATATTAAGTTCCACTTTAAAATTATATGATTACAACACTATTGGTAAAATATTAAAGTATTTGATATGTTAATAGGTATACTTTTTCTCCCCTATCTTGCATTTACCAAAGTACTCAAGAGCTGGGGAGCTAGCTCATTTAGATCTGCAAAACATTCATACCATACTCTAATTTCCTTTCCCAGGTGCCAGGAAGCTCTTTTGGATATTTCTGAATGCTACCTCTTTCCCGATAATCATGACATGCATTGAGTGAACTAAAACCACAGACATTTTTTACATAGAAAAAATATCTTGATGCATATACTGGACCTGGTAGGTGAAAAAGCTTAGTGTTTGTCTCAATAGAGGAAAAACCTACCTAAGAATATATTTACAAGTACTCCTCATAAACTGACCTATGGATCAACATGTGACCCTAATGAAATTTAATACAAAAGCAGCTACTCACCTTTTGCATGATTCCCTTTTCATAATAGTAGCGAAGAGAACGGCTAAGTTTATCATAGTTCATAGCTGGCCTATTTTTCTGAATCCCCCAGCGACGTGCCACCTGCCACAAAAATGGATTAGCATTGATTTGTTAAATGCATTTAACAAGCAGATCTTATAATCAGAGACTTTATTTGGGGATAGAGGAACACTGCAGGTGGAACACATAAACACGTCAGAAAACATTGGCATGACCTGAATTTCTCATGTACTCCTATAATTTTTAACTGGACATCAAATCATCCATTAAACTGGAAGCATGGTTACTTGCAAATGCAGTGAAGGATTTAAAGGTTTTTTTGCTTGTTTTTAATGAAACAAGCAAATGAAAAAATATAGCCTGATAAAGAGATGATAGACAAAAAACATTTATCAAAACTTTCATAAAAGAGGAAAACTTATTTAGTTTGAGACTGTAGATAATTGTACTATTCCTGTTTTCCTTGCTGTCAGAACACTACGTTGTGTTCATAGTTCATGAACTAATCCACAATGTACTTGGAATGAGAGCGATGTTGAGATTATTAGGAGATAAAAGGCAAAAGCCAACTCCCAGTCACGAACATTAATTCAGCAGAGAAAACAGATTATAAGAGGAGGCAAGGTAATCGCTTGGAAGAACTTTATGGTAGTATGAAGGATGGGACAGAACATTCATAGTTGCAGTTGTGTGATTTCCTTAAAAAACAAGTGAGTTGCAAGCAATTCGTGAAGCCATTCTGTAGAGAACAACACACCTTCTGCTCTGACTTGTGATTTTTACTTGCTCTTACACTTCCTTTTTTATTGCCAAAGCTAGTTCTGGACAAAGAGACCTTTTGTTTAAAGAGCTTAACTGCTTATTCCCCACCTGAAATTATAATTGGCTGCTGGTGACATTTCATTCACTGGCTGTACAAATTACTATCATGTCACCAGAGGGAAAAAAAGTCAGAGCTGATGAACTTTTTTAAGCACATTTTATAAAATTGTTTGAGAGGTGCATATGCATACAGTTGTGGAAAAAGGAGAGAGTAGCCAAGCAGCTTCTCTGACCACTGTTGTACAAAACTTTCCCACACATGTCTGAAGCCTTTTGATGCAAACCATAGACAACATGAAGCACTGAGAACTGAAGGGGACTAAATAACAACAGCGAAAATCATTATTTTGATCTCCATCTGGACAATAATTTAAAAATTTATTTTCAAAGCATTATTTCCTTTCAGCGGTGCAGCTTTTCAGGCTTGTGTAAATTACCATGACTTTGCTAACTTCAGCTATGTTATAGATGTATTGAAACATACCTGAAATCATGCCACTTTATTCCAGCTGTAGATTTGGCGCAGATGCATAACTTGATTTGCCTATTCATCTTTGTAACAAATACCTATCTCTCTCTGTGTTTATTCCTATCAATTTTTTTCTGCTTTAGTCAGAGTCCTAAAAGTCCCCAACATAACAATGCTTGCATAATAAATAAATACACCGAAAAGATAACTACAACAAAATAATGGTTGAAAATATGCTACATTGTGTGGTAAGCATTTCTAAACAAGCAAGCAGGTCCAGAGATAGTCTTGGTAAGCAAGTCTTCCTGACCCTGAACTGCATAGCATTTATGAAGTCTTCCTCTGTGGAAAGGATTAAGGCTCGTAGCCTTCCACTCCACCTTCCTCCTAGAAGGCTGCTGCCCCTCTGACAAGACAGCTGAAACAGACATACACCCAATTCTTAGTCTCCACAGTTCACAGTTATGTACTTTCCAAAGGAACTATAGTGCTCAGGGAGCTAATACATATTCATTTTTGTTGTCACCCTTTCTACAAGGGCATAAACCTCCAGAAAGGCACAGGATGGAAAGGTCACATGATTGACATCCTAACCTGCCACAAGCTCTTTGACTTCCCTTCGATTTACATTTGGCAACCAACATAAGTGTGCAACTTCCCATAGGCTATTCTTATTTTAATCCACAGTTTCTGTCAGATCCATTACATTTATATGCAACTTAGGGTGTTTTGTACTCCTTAAGAGCACACAGGAGGGAGACAAGTTTCAAGTAGCCTGCCTCTTCCAGATCTTGGATACAATGCTCCTCAAAAACAAAATGCAAGAGCTACAAATTCACAAAAGCAGATGATCTGATTAAACTAAATCAGAATACCAAATTCTTCAGGGAATTACACAATAAGAAAATCTTAGGGGTTTGTTTTGCTACTTTCCCTTCCTTAGACAATAAAATCCATCGTTTTTGCACCATCTGCTGAGAACCATTTTTCAATATATCTCTTTTATCTTAAAAAGCTTTGAACATACCTTAAAGACAAGACAAAACTAGAAGAGTAAAAAATAATGAGACTGGGGCAGGAGGGGAAATTAGATATCCCAGTCAGCAAAATCAGTCAAAGATTTCACTCTGTTCTGGGCCAGGTCACACAACTAAGAAGTCCATGTAACCTGCTAAGGTGCACACTTGCCAGCAGTTTCATTATGAAACCAAATAAGACTCTTCTGTGGTCAAATCCCCAGGATCTACTACAGTGACGATCATTAGTGAGGGGGATGCTTGGACAAACAAGAGCCAGCACGTGGGTCCTTGCAGCAACCTACGCCTCATCCAGACCATGTCAGGAAGGAAAGGGACATCAGTCCTGCTGCCATTCCCAACTACTCTATCAGTCTTTAGGGCTGTTGGCAGACCATGGAACTCAAATGCAAGAAAACTTTCAGATTGCTCATGCCAGTAGATGGATGGCAAACAGCAGAAATAGCTGATGGAATACAGAAGCAGCTTCACACACTGAATTTTCCTACTTGGCTCTAACTCAGAGGGGATTCTGATGGAAAATTTGCAGCTATCTCCTCCATTATCCAACCCTGTCCAAGGGCAATAGAGTTAACCAGAATGATGATGCTTTTTGACAAGTCACCAACATTAGCATCACAATAAAATCTATGCGTACTAGATTTTTCCCATATTTTCCATGGCTGTTTAGAACACAGGATAGAATATTTTGTGCTACCTAGACCAAAAACTATACATAATAAAATGTTCAATTTATTCCTGTTTTATCATACTAGTGATCTAAGTTATGCTCCACCAGATGTTCATGAATGCAAATAATTTTATCTACCCTATGAGTCCTTCAAGGTACAGGAGAGCTGTGCATGTGCATGAGTGTTTGCAAACCTAGGATCTAAGCGTGCGCTAAACAATCTAAAAATACAGATAAGCAGGAAGATTCTGAAGACTCGATAAAGAGGGGGGGTTTATAGAATTTTTATGGAATTTTACTGCCTAACAAGCTTAACGTCCTCCTTTGCCACCTGTCACATTTGAGGTCTTTACAGCCCAAAAGTTCGAAGTTCCCACATCTTCACACTGAAGAGTATTTGGTGTTGAAAGACTATTCAGGCACAAGTTTTCAGAGGATTTTGGAACACAGCTCTATCTGTGAAGTGGTTTTGAAAAATCAAGGCCCCACAATTAATGATGAGTGTTTTGTAACTCTAGTACTTGCAATATTTTTATTATTTTGCGGGACTAGAAAATTAAGCCTATGCTTAACAACACCTCTGTCTTAACTTAAGCAATTCCCTTGCCAGTCTTTTCTGTCAAAGTGCCACTGAAGCAAAATATTGAAGGAAAACCAGGCCTAAGTCTGAAGGAGCATTATCAAGTTTGCAAGACGAGGTAGTGAGTGTTGGGGCACATTGTCTAACATACCTCCTCCGGCTCAATCAGCTTGAATTCCATGCCTCGGCCAGTCCATGCTATGAAGTGAGAGTTTGATGGGTCATCAAGAAGAGCTACTAAGAACTGCCACAGCTGAAGCGAGCCTCGACGTTGATACGTGGGTCCCTCGCGGTACATGCCTGGCTCCTGTTTGACATCACCTGCGCAAAACAGCAACATTAGACGAGCAATGCGTGAAAAACAGCCCTCAGTGCGTCCGGTAAATCGGCAAAGGAATTGTTAGGGTTAATAAAACAGAGGGAAAGAATTCTTACTACTCAGCCACCCACAAATGCAACAATCCCCTGTATGCTGTTAAATCACCCTTACAAATAACACGTTAATATACTAAGAAATACCTAAATTCAGTTGTGATTTATGAAAGCCTCCCTAAGCCCATCCCCATTTACTTCTGATACATGTAAATCACACTTGCAAACCATTCCGTAATATTCTCTATCTTAAAAAGCATGAACTATTTTTGTAAGCAACTCTGATGTCTGAAGTACTGCGTCTGTACTCTGTACTTTGCACAAGCCCCAGATCTGGAAATGCAATGTATGCTTCATGAAGCTGCAAAACCCTATTAAGTGAAACTTCTTTTGCATGCAAATGCTTCTAAGGAAAATTTGACAACGTATTTGACTTTGGTCTTAAACAGCATGTGCTTTATGTATAGGTATGCAAATCCTGCAGATATGCGAGTTCCTCAGTGGCATACTGGAATTGCATATAAGCACATAATACTTTTACTCATATCCACATATTAGATTAGTATTCCCCATGAAAAGCAGAAAATTATTTTTTCTAAAATTTCAAATCCAGAGGAAGCTTTTAAACAACAGTAATAATATTCTGCTAGCTGTTTCACAAACTGCCAGTGAAAGACCACCCTGCTACATCCACACTGTGTCTCTGTTGTTTCTAAATCCTAACCATTCTAAATAACTCATGCAAACAACAACAGCTGAAGGAACTGATGCTGAAGCAGATAATATTTTTTGTTGCACACAATGAGAGCAATCCTTGATATGCTGGTAAAACTCATTTCAACTACCAGCACACAACTACTCTCCAATAAGCAGCGTGACTTGTTTAATATGGAAAGCCAGGACTTTACATTGAACTGCACTAGGATGCTCTGATGGCCATTACAGAATGGCTTTGTGTAGTGAAAATAAAAATAATAATATTAAAAATGGAGCACTTCCTTTTGTAATCAGGAAAGAAAATTGAGTCAATAGCTGTGGAAAACAAATAAATCAACACAAGGCTTTTTGGTTTATGTGAGGTTCAAGTTCCAGTTCTGAAAGGCCTTCATTTTCAAGGACAGGATTTTTCTGTTAATAATAGCTGAGCTATATGCAAATAGCAAGTGCAGTATCACAGAGGATCAGATTCTCTGCCTGTGCTGATCTTTGATTCCAAGCAAAGCAGCTGAGAATCTACTTCCAAAATATCAAGATGAGCCCTGGGTTTATCCCACTTTTACTTTACTGGCTAAAACATGATGACACATCTGCTATTTCTTCCTCAAAAGTCATAATGCTACAAGTATAAACACACCTATTTGGATCACAACATCAGTCTTCTAGAGTACAAGGTGTTCTCTCAACGGACAGTCATAGAAGCTAGCAGACTGCTTGCTTTGTAATCACTCAAATATTTCCACACATATATTTCTTTTATTTGTATTTCTTTTCCATTTTCATCCCTTTCCTGTACAAAACCCAAACAAACAAAAAGGATTTTCAAGACAGACACAGATATACATTACTCTTGAAGAGTTTTAACTTCTTATAGTACAGGGTCCGATCCCATTCCTCTAAATGTAAATATGAATTTGCCATGGGTATTGAAAACAGATCAGGTCCACAATCATTTTTGAGAAAGGATAAAACATGATATGCATTAAAAAGGAAAAAAAAAAAAAAGAAAGAAAGAAAGAAAAAAGCATACATTCAAAAGCCAGGGTATAAAGTACACTTTCACTAAATCACTCTTTCAGTGAATGTGCCAATCCAGTGACAATACAATACTGGATTTAGTAATCTCCAGTTAGGTCTAATATTATTTTTAAATCTACTTATTTCTTGCTATTCCTGTTTCATTTTAGAGTCTCCCACTCTTCAGCAAATACAACAAATGCTGCTAGACACACAATAGTTTTGTAATCCATAGAAGTGATTCTCAGGGGAAAACAAACAAAATAAAGAAGAAAAACCCCAAGAGGTCTCCAGTTCTACTTCTAGCTATGATCAGAGAGTTGTTCACAAGTTTATCAGAAATTATCTAACCTTTCCTGCTAAAATAAATAAAGTTGGACATAAGTACGCTAACACAAAGAAGCCACTCTAGCAAATTTAATTAATTGGTCTCCAAATTACTTCCCAAAGTTGCAGACTAACAGAGTCACCGGTAAGAAATGGAGTCCATCTACTTTGTCTATAATGAAATAAATATGAAAGCAACTGAGTTACACCAGGAAACTGATTTTACATCAGAGTAACTGAGGATAATTTGGGCTATTTATTTTAATTGACCTCAGAATCCCTCTTGAATAAAATCTGTTCTAATGGGTAGCACTGTGAAAAGGTCATTGATTAGTTATCAATCCCACTGAAAAATAAACCACTAGTACATTTAGCATAGTGCAAATACACTGACACAAACACAAAAACACCCTATACACTCACTCCCCCCTATTCATCACTTCACAGACAGCAAGACGAGGCTTAATCCTCAGTAAAACCGAAGCTGCTACCTTCTCCACCATTTTGTTAATTATAAGAACAGCTTTCATTAAATCTCAAACAACAAGCAGTATGTGACCACCAGTGCAACGGAAATCCTCCTATTACTTCTCAACAGTACAGGAACCGAGCTCCTCTGCCACAATTCTGGATACAGCATCTTTCTCTGGAAAAAGCTGAATGATTCCCTGTTGAAAAGGAGACTTTGGTTTCAAGAGACAAAGGTCAGCTTTGGTTGGGCACACCGCAAATGGTGTGTTAAGAAATCCTAAATTGGAATGTTACCAAGCTTTTTTTGATCAGCAACAGAGAAAAATCCCTCATTTCTTCCTTTTTCATCTTCCCACACAAGAAAAAAAGAGATGTGTCATACATACCGTCAAACTTCTCTGGAACAACGCAAGTGTCATCATAAAACTGCCTAGGTCCCTTTTCATACATACAGCCTGTAATTTAAAGAGAGGTATTTATACAAAAGATGCATGGAAAATGAAGAGATCATAGGCTTAATGCCAGAGAGAACACTAAGTCACAGAGGAATCAGATTAATATCCCACATCCTTTACAAACTGCCCAATCGCAACATTTTGGCCTCAGTACAGGGGTGCTTAATTAATGTGCGCATTCCAAAAAGACTGTTAACCTCCACCTGTGAAAATGAAAAAGCACTCATTTTTTTCTATGATTTATTTTAAAATGTTTGTCTCATTTCCTGTTTGAGCTAGCATGGCTCTTACTTTTAACCATTAGCTTCTGGGGTCTTCTCCCTGCAAGACTGAAAAAGTCCTACTTGGTATTTCCCCCTCACACCCATAGAAGTCACTCCCCTTCATTCTGTAAAATTCAATTTTTGTCCTTAAAACACACTGTCTGCAGTCCTGTATTGATCCTAGCACTCCCTTCTGTACACACTCCTACTCTGCAGATTTATTTAAATGTTTTGCTTAAACCGAATTGTATTGCATATCAGCTTTAGACTCACCAGTGCTACTTAGCGAGATGAAACATCTCCTCCTCTCCTGTCTCCCTGTGACTCTCCTTTTGACTGCAAATATTGCAGGCCTTTTTGCTATACAGTTGCAATGCTTAGTTGGGCTGGTTTCCCACTAAAGCCTAGGAGGAGGCCCATCTCAAAATAATTTTTTCCCATATTACTGTTTCCCGGTTCTATAGGCCTGATCTACATTCAACAAATTAAAAAGACATTTTTTTTTAATGTGCCCAGATTACCAAACAACTCAAATGACTTTGTGTAACTGCCCTGTCCTGCACGTTATTTACCACTCTGCCTATCTTTGTGCCATAAAGTTATCTATTAACTTTGGTCCGTATCTTTACTGAAAATGTTGAATAGCAACACTCCTGATATCAATTCCTACAGAACTGTAATAGAAACAATCCATTCAGAGATGATTGCCCAATGACAGCCAGTTATGGATCTGTCAGTTGGCCAGGTCTTAATGTATTTAATGTGTACTTTATTGATATTGCTTTGTGCTAACTCCCTAATCAGAAAGTAACGCGGTGGCAAACTGAATGCCATAAAAAGTCTAACTTGTATCTAAAGATACAAGTATCTTTATCAATCAAACTTTTAATCTCAGCAAAGAACAGAATCAGATTTGACATGACCTTTATTCCATAAAATCATGTTGACTGATTTCCAAATACAGAAAACAAATGTTTATCGAACATCACTGTTTTTTCTACATCATTCGTAACAATTTTACCACTTTCAAGTACTTACAAGTGCATAACATGGCTAAGGATGGTTTTTTTCCCCTATCTGTTCCGTGATTACAACTCAAATCTGTTGACCTTAGCCCGGCAGTTTGTGGATTTTTCCCTGATGTCTTTCACTTCCCTTATCAAGCTTCTATCATTCATAGAATTGCATATCCCAAAACTGTTGCAAATTTCCATCTCCTGTTTCACTCCCCTTGTTAAAACACTACCTTTTATTTCCATTTTCTGCCCTTATTCCACCCCAGAAGCAGTTGGGCTTTTAGCCAGATTTGTTATCTTTCCAGTTGTGTCTTCACACCAGCGAATGAACTCTTACTAGAGGACCTGGATTCATACATCTCTCTAAACTCTCATCAATTTCAAAAAAATTTACCTCATGTTCGTGAAATTTGCCCCTTAGAAGAAAAGCAAAAAAATCCCAAGCAAAAAAAAAGATTAATCCTATATTGACAAGAAAGATGCACCAAAGCAGGAAAGCAGAGGGCACAGCCTCTCTTTCAGTGGTCATTTTTTCTTAATTCTGTTTGCTTTCTTAATTTTAATCTATACAAAGTGTTTTTACCCATAATTATTCACTTTGACAACGATCTAAGCACTGCCTTATTAAGTCACTGGGAGTTTTGGTATCTCACGTGTGTACAACTTGGGCCTAAGAAGCACCAAAACATTTCAAAAATCGTAACAAAAGGAAAAGCCAAACACCTTCACTGAATTTAAAATATAAAATTGATTACTTAACAGTTATCTGCGCCTGTCACATCAATAGCCTGGAAAATACCATTGAAACAGAACAGATGAAACGGACAAATATTTTAACATCTCTTTCTTTCAACTGCTAGAGGCTTTGAAAAGCAGAATGAGTAAATTAATAATAAAATTACTTCTACCCTGAGCAACATGTGGCACTAAAGCAAGCTACAAAAAAAGCCAGTGTATCAGAAACTCAAGAATGGGAAGGGGAAGAAAGATGATGTGCATCTTCCCAGCAGCAGAATTAAACCAGTGAATCCCAAATCCCTCCAGACTTTGAAAATTTTTTTGTTTCTGTTGTACAAAAGTGATACATAATAGGAAACTTAACTTCTGTTCTGTTTGGGTGAGCCAGGAAGCCTTCTTGCCTCATGTAAATGGAATGGCAGCTAGGCACTTCTGAAAGGAAAAGACGACAATGCTAGTCAAAAGACTGTCTGGAATTAAAAGTGTGCAGGTTATTGACGAGACAGGCTGCAGGCAGAAGAGCAACAAAAAGGATGGAAGTTACAGCAAGGGGGAACCTGTCAGCACACAGTTAGCATTTCAGAGCAGCAGGCACAAAGCATGTTAGAGGAGAAAACCATTATGTGAGGACCAGAGATCCCATCTAACACAGACTTTTGAGCTCAAACTCAAATTTATCAAATTTGCTAAAAGCTGACTCCCATGACAATTACACTTTTGACCATTCACAGACCAGAAAATCCACACAAGACAGTATGGATATTTCAAACCTTGTGCTTGTGTATCTTGATTTATAACTAAATTGATCTAACATTTTTAATCAATCACACTGGAGACTTATAAACTGTACACTAAATACAAGGAATGTCAGAGTGATTTTAAAGTAGGATATTGCTTTTAGACTCTGGTTAAGCATTTGAAGGGTTAACGATATTTTCTGTGATTGCTAAGTATTTAATCTAGGATTTTTGATGCAACAATTTCACCCTCTCCTTGTACATCCTTAAAGAAAAAAAAGACACACAAAAAAATAGTGCACACATTCTAAGTAATAAATTTATTTGCTGTTCCCCACTTCTACTCAAATCTGTAAGAAGAATGAACAAAACCAAACAGAACTAATGGTGTTCTTTAAAAGTCTTTCTATTTTTCCCCCATGTCTTGCACTGTTCCCAAGTAGCCACATCCTGTGCACAGGACTTGCAAACAGAAGTACACCATAAATGTTTGCCCTTCTAGACCATGTTTAGCTCACTTCTTGGATATCAAAAGTCTAGCCTAACAAGTCTATTTGATCTTGTGATAAACTCCTACCCTAAGCTATGCAATCTGTTACCAGTAACTTGTAACTCTAAGAGATGCAAACAGAGGTCAAAAGAGCAGACATTATTTTTCCAACACTGCCTACAGACTTTCAGACTGTGATTCCAAATTTTACTGTTCACTGACTAGTGATGAGTATCAAAGATCTGGCAGGATAAGAAAATGAGGTTTTACACTGGCTTCACAACACAAGTGAAACACAGGGCAGTAATAATAATTTTTCTCTAACAATCCATAGTCTTCCTTGCATATCTGTGCCAAACTCTTCATTACCTCCCCTCTAGATTAAATGCTCAGTGCCTGCCTGCTCAGGCCTTGAGAATCTCTAACGTCTTAGGCAGCTATTCTGAGCAGCCACAGGAATAAGTGACTCAGTGATCACCCGAGTCAAGTACAGCTCTGTAGAGAAAGTCAAGGCTACAAGTAGTGGTTCACCTGCAAGGAATCACTCATGTTAGCAAGTAGATTGAATTTTAAGGAGAATGGAAAAATCTATGTTTAAAAAAAAAAAAAAAAAAAGGAGGAAGTTGGAGAACTGAAACAGATGCTATTTTCTATTTTAGGTAAAAATTCACTAGTGTTGGCAGCAAAAGCCTTTTTGACTCATGAACTCCACTCTTGCAAAGTGATACAGCAGAGTATACAGAATAAAGAATTATGCACATATCCAAGAAGAAGTTGTGCTGTTAGCCAATCTGGGGTTTCATCTCTCATGCTCCTAAGTCAGTTATAATTAACATCTGGAGTCTTTTTAAGGCAAGCATTGTTTGTACCAACATTGCTTCATCTTCTGGTTAGCTTGTGCTTAAACAGTCCACAGAGGACCAAAAAATACAGCGAGGAAGAGTTTATTTCTCATAAAGTAACCAGAGTCTTGTTATCCTAAAGTGCTATCAGTTAATTTATGACTATCAGAGTGGGTCAGACTCTAATCAAATTGTAGAAACATTTCCAAAGTGATTATTCAATCAAATGACTAACACGGTTAATTAGGAGCCATAAACATTGCTCTGAAGTTCATCAAAGTAATGACTTGCCCAGAAAAATTACTGCTAATTAAATTGCCTGCTGCTTTCATTTCTACCTTATCTAATAAAAAGTACAACCAATGAAATTTAGCATTGCAGTTTTAAATTGTACTAAATGCTTGCCTAAGACCCAGAAGTATTTTTACTAGCTAAGCGGAGCTACTTCAAAAGAAAACATTTTAGTGCAGAAATTACAGAGCCATTATATGTTTTCTTTTCCTTAAAGCATTGTTTCAAAACAACAAATAAAGACAGAATTAAGCATAAAATACTTCCAGGGCAGGATCCTAGTGATAAAGGTGACTGATTCTATCACCTTTTAGCAATTTTTAGTCTTTGAAGAAAAATGGGCATGGATTTAGGAGACATAACAAGCTTATTTCAGACTTCTAATAAAGTAAATCACATTGTAAAGTTTCATCATCTCAACAATAGGAGAGTTTCCTTATAAAAAACTAACTAAAAATATGGAGAAAAAAAATATATATTTTATTATGCATGTGGAATACTTAAGAGGTCATTGCTCCTCTTGCTAACAGCAATATAGTAATAATCTTAAAGCAATCAGTGTTGGTCTTACCATATTGGTTCAAAACCATTTTTTTCCAGGTCTTATTCTAAAATTGCATGTAATCTACACACTGCAGAAATGCCTTGTCACCTGGCAATGACACAGGGAAAAACACTGGAAATAAGGTCTGCTGTGCCTTAATCACAATATATAGAAGTAGAAAAATCAGAGACAGCTTCAAGACTGATTTTAGCAGGTGCAGGTTCTATGTTTCCTTATTGAGTTGGACACGAGTGGCCCCTTGGTAAGGAAATGTTTCATATGAATTAACATATCAGAACTTAAAGGGTTAGGTTGTCTCAGCCCTGTGTAACTCTAAGTGGATAAGGAATCCTTAAATCCACTAAGGACTAGTTTTTAGACCCATAATCATACACTGTGCAGAAACAAACAGAATTTCAGCCCGCGTCCCTAGCCAGATAAGACACAGGGAAGACAAAACTTCAGCAGGCAATGGGATGAAGTGGCTGTCTTCTGAATGAAGAAGAGCACAGCAGGAACTGGAAACCTGAACCAGGGTTCATTCTTCAGCTGTTCCTGTGGTTCTGACTTTACACAGCCTTCCTAACTAAGGACATGATGTTACATTACACTCTAACTCTGAATTACTTTTTGGTTTATTTTATCAACCCCACCTCAGGATGCTCTTGGCCACCTTCTTCATCACCCGGGCACACTCCTGGCTCTTATTCAGTTGGCTATCAACCAATACCCCCAGGTCCTTTTCCACCAAGCAGCTTTCCAGCCACTACTCCCCAAGCCTGCAGTGTTGCATGGGGTTGTTGTGACCCAAATGCACTTGGCCTTGTTGGATCACATACATTTGTCCTTAGCCCATCAATCCAGCCACTAGAATACATCTCAAAGTCACGTGAATTCATCAAACACTTCAATGCATACATGAAACTTGTCTTTTTACATCTAGAATTGTAGAATCCTAGAATAGTGTGAGTTGAAAGCCCCATCTAACCTACACTTGAACACTTCCAGGGATGGGGCTTCCACAACTTCCCTGGCAACCTGTTCCAGTGCCTTACCACCCTCACACTAAATAATTTCTTCCTAATGTCTAACCTCAATCTCCTCCATTTTTAATCCATTACCCCGTTTCCTCTTAGTACAAGCCCTTGTAAAAAGTCCCTCTCCAGCTTTCCTGTGCGTCTTCTTCAGATACTGGAAGGTCACTATGAGGTCTCCCTGGGTATAGGCAAAAAATAAAGTGATGACACTAAAACTGGAACCTTCCTACGGTTTGCTCATGTACTTCTCCAATGTACACTTTATTACCAACTAAGTCACATTAAAAACAGAAGAATTTCCCAGTGGATATAGCCAGTCCTGTCATTGAACTTACACCATATCCTCCTCAATTGTGCTTTTTGTCTGAAAAGTAATTACACAGGCTTTAGCTCCTACTTCAGCAATTCAGAATTGGTATATCTATAAAAAGACTTTAATGCACTGTGCCACTTGTCTTCTCATAGGCAAGAAATAGAGCTCATGCCAATTCTTTCCCTTTGTGCTACTGGACACAGAAGGGTGTGCAAAAGCTCCTCAGGTAGCTTTGATCAACCTAGCTCTCAGGTGCCACTCACACACATCAGCCTGACCCTGTGCTACACACACTGAGACCACCACCTCAAGTATTGTGTCCAGTTCTGGAGCCCCCAACACAGGTAGGGCATAGAGCTCTTGGAGTGAGTCCTGAGGAGGGCAACAAAGATGATCAGAGGACTGATCTATGAATCCTCTCCTATGAAGACAGGCTGAGAGAGATGGCACTGTTGAGCCTGGAGAAGTGAAGGCTCCAGGGAGACATTATAGTTGGCTTTCTGAAGGGGGCCAACAAGAAACTTGGGGAGGGACTTTTTACAAGTGCTTGTAGTGACAGGACAAGGCATAATGGTTTTAAATTGCAAGAGGGTAGATTCGGATTAGGTATTAGGAAGAAAATATTCACTATGAGGCTGGTGAGACACTGCAGGTTGTTGCTCAGGGCAGTTGTGGCTGCTACCTCCCTGGAAGTGTTCAAGGCCAGGTTGGATGAGGCTCTCAGCAACCTGGTCTAGTGGGAGGTGCCCCTGCCCATGGCAGGGGGTTTGGAACTAGATGATCCTGAAGGCCACTTCCAACCCAAACCATTCCATGATTCTATGCCAGCCCTCCCTTCAGTGTCTTACAGAGCATCGCCAAGTACTTCCTTGTGACAGCACTTCTCCGGTACTTAGGTGGTTGATGCAGCAGGATAGTTTTTTACCAGAGTAAAAAGTGCAGAAACAAAGGTAGTCTTTTTAAAAGAAAATGTCTGAGCTAGAATACATCAGACTTCTGGCCTGAAACTCAGTAACATCTCAGTCAGGCTGAGGGTAACTTAGATTTGCAAGAGCACTGACAAACTCTTTACAAAGGGGAACTTCATCCACCACTGAAACACTTAGCCTGTTGGTGGAAAGCAGCTGTTTATCACTACTGAGAAGCTTTGACCAGCTCAAGAGTGAAGAGCAACACTG